TGTGCCTTTCGACACGTGGCTCAGAGGCAGCACTCACCCGGCTCAAGGCAAGCCGGTAGCGATGATGGAACGGTAGGAGCACGAAGGAACGGGCTCGGCCGTCTCCAGCGACGGTAAAGGCCGGTAAAAAGTCCCGTGCTCTGCCTAAAACGGGTGGCACAGGCTCCGGAAAGATGTGGGACGGTCGGGTACCTGGGAACGGACCGGTACCGATGCAACAAAGTGCCTATTACACACTACCGCCCCGACTCCAGTGCTGGCCTGAGTTACAACCGCCTTTTTGAACTCAGGCCATGATGTGACATGAACGTACTTCCCTCTTAGGAAAATTTGTACCCCTGAAAGCTCTCGTATATGCTAAAATACCCCCCAAAAGATATGGGGAGATGGCAAGACCCCTCTGAAATATCAAAGGAAATTTTTCAAAAGCTTGTGAAATGCCCTTTTGGATTTAAATCTTTGCGATCTACTCCTGTCAAGTGGAGGCGCAAGTTTGCATTTCTGCCCGTGACAGGCGTATAGCACAAACCTGGCATTGCCAACCACGTGACGAGGGGTTTAAATCCAAGCAAAAAGGGCATCCCGCTATCCTACTTCAGTGTCTACCACTGAGAATCGTCACCCTCCAGTCTGGGGGTGACCTGACCGAACAGTGCTTGCAGGTACCAGGGCTAAGCTGACCTCCACACACCCCACTCAGCCCCAATTGAAGCATATTTGAGCCAGAAGGTTGCTGATGTGGCACAGGGTTAGGGACTGCTGAGAGGTTGCTGACGTGGACAGGGGAGGAGAGAAGGCACTTGCTGGCACTGGTAGTGGCTTGCTGATATGGCAGGCTTCATTCATAGCGCCATTGCTATTTACTCCTCTGGAGGTGTTTCTCGCTGACATGGCATGCTGCCTACTGAACAGGCAGCGCGCACATAGGTGTTGACGTGGCACCCTCCTGAAGAACCAGCGAGGAACATAGGATAACATGGCATTCTCCATAGTGCCGCGACGCACATCCAGTGACAAGGCACCTCTCAGAAGTGGCAGCGCGCGACACAGGTTGACGCGACATTTTCCAAGCGGCATCCCAGTGAGCAGATACGGTTTTGAGCAGTATTCCACTGCTTTATGTTGATAGGAAGGAAGAATTGAGGAATGAACCCGGTCAGAATGGATGCCGGCAAACATTTCTAGAGGAAAATCATGTTTGCAAATGACACAGGTTGACGCGACATTTTCCAAGCGGCATCCCAGTGAGCAGGTACGGTTTTGAGCAGTATTCCACTGCTTTATGTTGATAGGAAAGAAGAATTACGGAATGAACCCGGTCAGAATGGATGCCCGCAAACATTTCTAGAGGAAAATCATGTTGCAAAGGAAAATCATGTTGCAAATGAGAATGCCGCACAATGAACTTAAAAAGTCAGTTGTAAATTCCACGGCCTCGCCACAAACGAATTTTCAGTAGTACAGCAAGATGCAAGAGATTTGAGCGATAGCGAGATGACAGAAACCAAATCACATTTCCACATAAAGAGCATGAAGTCACATTGAGTCTGAAAAGCAGCAATACACCAATAATACACCAATTGAGAGTCGTGACACCGGACCAAATGTCAATGAAAGCTCGTCCATGCAAACATCACAAGAGTATCCAGGTTCCCTCTCCTCTGGCGCTCAGCGCCCAGATGCCGCCTACTCAACTACTCCTACACTACGTAGACAATGCAACTCGTTGACGTCAGCAGCGTCCAAAGTATTTGAAGATGATCACCACCGCCAATACCAGGTACGTACTCCAACATCATCATCAACCCCCTTCTCTCTCCTTATCCCTCGTCTTCTTCCTCCCCATACAGCGCCCCCTCACGTCCAGGCCAGCTTGCTATGAAAGCCAGCTATGGCGCTCCCCTCAGCAGCGCCCTGCCTGCACTACCGCACGTGCGTCCCGGGCTTACTAGCGCAGCGCAGCGCTTATGCAGCCAGCGCGCGATTCAGCAGTGCTGCCGCACTTGCCCAATGCCCGAATACCCGGCCTGGCCCTGCCTCTTTCCTATACCCAGATTGCTGGCCCGCTGGGCCTCGTCCAGATACTTCCGGAAGGCCCAGTAGGGCGCAGACCCCGACGTAGGCCCTGTGCCTCGCAAGGTTGGGCCCCAACTGTATCTGTATGAGGCTGCGAATCTCATCCAGGGTCTGCATTCTTTGGAAATGCCCAGAAGGCTGTGGAAATGTCTTGAAGGCACGGCCTGAGTTTCTTTCAACCAACTGGCGCGTGGTAACTGTCTGCACCCCAAATATGAAATTGACAGATAAGGGCCTTTTGTGAAGTGTTAGGCCCGCCTTCACTTAGGGCGGGCTATGCTGCAAACAGGGCCCCGTAGGCCTATCGAGGACTCAGATCCTCGCATTCCCTCCTCCTTTACTTCGTTAGTCCTCTGAGAAGTCTCTTATTCTGCAGCCATCTTTCCCTTGCGTGCTCTTTCATAGCCTGCAATAACTTGAGGTGCTGTTCTCATGAGTTCTTCTCGTGTGAACCACCGGTCTTCTTTGGGGTCCAGATGATGTCTAAAACTCACACGATACTGCATTCTCGGCTTAGGAGGTCGGCCCCTGCCTGATGGTCGAGGAACACGCATGATGCAATGTTCCACAATCTGGTCGATGTCGACCTCTCCGTCCATGGTTGGGGGCAGCATTGACCGTCTGGATGGAAACTGTGCAGTTTCTGCAAAAGGTGCCAGTTTGGATGCGTGAAAGACTAGGTGCGTGCGCAGGTGAGGTGGGTCACGAATCACGTAAGAGGGTCCACCTTCCTTATCCCCGATAATATCTAAGACCTCCCAGGGACCAAAATACTGTGGCATCAGTTTTCTAGAAATACCGAGTTCCTGTCCTAACTCAGATGCCTTTACCCAGACCTGTTCCCCTATCCGAAAGTTAGCAGGTCGCCGGTGCTTGTTTTCAGAGGCAATCATGGCCTCTTGTGCTTTCTGTATGTGCTCGGTGGCCTGCTGCAGCATTTTCTCGTAGTTGATAGCATATTCAATGCTTCCAGGTGCTGCAATATTCTGCTGATCTGGTAGTAGGAAATCCAGTGCGGAACGTGGCTTCCAACCAAGATGCATTGTTGTACAGGCTGGCAACGAGAGGTAGTTTCTCGTCCCAGTCGTCTTGACTTGGCTTGATGTAGTGTCTTAGCAAAAGCTGTACTTCTCTATTCATCTGTTCCGCCTGTCCATTTGACTCAGGGTGATTCCCTGATGTCATTTGCAGTCTGGTACCCATCTGTTGGGCAGTGCTTTGCCACAGTTCACTGGTGAATCTGACGTCCCTATCACTTACTATAGACTTTGGAAGTCCAAAATCCCTGACCCAGTTGTCCATAAAGAGTTTGATGACTAAGTCGGTCTTAGCGGTATCAGGCATGGCAATCAATCTAGCATACTTAGTCAGTCGGTCAGCTATAACAAAGACGTGCCTTTTCCCTGACCTGTTGGTCACGAGGCTGTCCATGAAGTCCATAGAGACACTCTGTCCTGGTCCCTCAGGAATCGGCAAAGGCTTGATGAGCCCAAGCGAAGCCTGAGTCTTTGGTTTGTCGCGTTGACAAACCTGGCAGGTTTCTACATACTTCTTGG